CAGGTACAGCGTGCAGGCGAGTGGATCTGGCGTGAGGGCGGCCAGGTGAGGGCGGATCTGGTGAGGGCGTGGCGCGGCCTGCCGTGGAGGCGGCAAGGCGCGCGGATCTGGCGCCGGTGACGGCGCGCGTCCAGGGGCGAGCGGGCATGGTGCACGGCTTGGCCCGGTGGCGGGCAGGCAAGGGCGCGCGCGGGCGCGGCCCGGGGTGGACGCGTCCTGGCGCGTTGGCGGCCAGGCGAGGGCGCGTGGAGGTGCCTCGGTTTCGGCGCGGGTTGGCGGGGCGGCGCCCCTCCGGCGTGTGGCGGCCGGATCTGGTCGAACCTGGCCAGATCCGTGGTGTGTTTGACGCGCGCCGGCCCTACGCGCTGGTCCTATGACACTGGAGCAGGCGGCTCCGGCCGTGATAGATGCGAGATGCAGGGACTGATCTGGTCACTGTAGGCTCGCCGTGGGCCGGGTGGACCACGAGTTCATGGCCTCTACGACTAGGTTATGCGGCGGTGGCAGTGCGAGACTGCATGGACGAGCTTCTGTGGGCACGAGCGAAGGTGTGCGGCGATACGGACGAAAGTCTTGCACGACAAGAGGCCGGTGGCGATGGCGCCTGTGGATGTCATTTTCCTCCTTGGAGGCGTCACCTGAGGTGTGTCGGCATCTTCCTTGTGCTCGGATGGTGGTTTGTCTCCGGGCGAAATCCTAGGTCCGGTGTTGGATCGGCGTGATGGCGGCGTGTTTGACGTCGTTCCTCTATTGGGAGCATCACGTTTGGAGGCACTTCCTAGAAGCTCTTTGTGGCGCTCCTCCGGTGCTCGCCGCTGTTCAAGGTGAAGCTCTAGGCGCAATGTACGACATCATCGATGAGTCCAAGACGAAGCTCTTTCTAGGATCGACCAAGTCCCGCCATCTACCCCCTGCTTCCTGGGTGGATGGTGCGTTGGCGAGGGAAGTTGTAGTGGGAGCTGCTGCTATCTTCGGAGGTGATCGGCGTTGTTCGAGAAGCTGTGGTGATGCTTAGCTTAGGACAGGTGCTTCGGTTGTGTAGTCATGTTGTTTGTGGTGGGTGTAGCTCTCTGCAGCTATTAGGGCTGCAGTTTTTTCTTTCTCTTTTTGATCTTCGGATCTTCACCATGTTGTTCTTCCGCTGCTTTCTGCTAAATCTGAATCAAGCCAGCAATTTGCTGGATCTTTCAAAAAAAAAGATCATTTAGTTTGCATCAAGATTCGTGCTACCATTATAGTGATAGAAACTTCACTTTTTTTTGGTTTCTTCCAAACAAGAGAACATATTACCTTGAAACATCGCAGGTCAACTATACACAATTGCTACCCGTTGTATATTTTTCCCCTTTTTTCTACGAAACATCAATTTGTCAAATTTCAAATTTCGAATGAACTGTATCATTTTTGAAAAATTACGTTTCGCCAAAAAAAAAATCCAAAAACATTTCTGCACATGGTAGTACATCTGTGATGCTGATCTACAAAGCTTCGGGTTCAAATGTTCTTTCATTTGGGAGAACCAAAAAAAAGTTTGCTTGCACGAATTTGGATGCAAAAATGGATGGTGAGGATATAGGGTACAGTGACCCGAGACTTCTTCTCCGAGGGAGAGTTGGTCGACGCAGACCTCCCGGTTAGGTTCAGGTAGGTGATGCTTGCCTTTCCGGTGGTTTACAGGGACAGCTTGTCTCTCTCTCTCCCTCTCTCGACCCTCCTTGCTTGCTTGCTTCCGCTCTACTCCTAAACCTAAACCTCGCCGATCCTTTCCCTCCTTTTGCTGTCCCACATCGCCGTCACTTCTTGTTTAATTCCTTCTCACATTCGGGGCACCAAACCCGCGGCACTTCTCCATTGCATACTTCTTGAGTTCTTCATCGTCGAAGCTCTTTCTCGTGGAGGAGGCTGCGATGCCGCCGGCCAACGGTGGCGCCGCCACCGCCGGACCGAGCTCCGGCAGCGGCAGGGACGGCCCGCCGGCGGCCACCGCGGCGGTGAAACGCAACAGGCCTCGGTGTAATTCATCTCTCTCCACAGAAGCAGATTCTTTCTTGTTTTTCTCACGCTTGGTTTGTTGTTTTCTTTTGAGAGAAGGTTTGATTGTTCTTGTTAGCCGTAGCTGCTTGATTCTATTAGTATATCCCTGAATTGTTCTTTTCTTTTAGCCTACTTTGAATCTTCAACTGTTCTGTTAGATGATCTGTACGTTATTCATTTTTTGGTAATTTGATACGGTGCAAACTGAAAAGAGCCTTCCTTTTTTTTTTCTCAGAATTAGGTGAATCTAACTCCTAAAGCTACAAGAAACCACATGTAAATTATTTATATAAATATATAAAAAACAGTTTACTTGATTAAAATCAGTAATTTACTCGATGGATGATCATTTTCGTGGTTAAGGTTCATGAGAAGTACTGTACATACTAACCTCCAACCATTCTGTTGATTCTGAAGATCATGCATTTACTCAGCAACAACTCCCAGCGTGCAAGCCTATACTGGCACCCAATATGGTGAGACCCCAATTGCTAGCCCAAGCCTCATCATTTCACACTCTTTTTTTTTCAAATGTCTCGTGTTTCACAAATTCAAACTTTGGACAACCAGGTCATTCCCATTCTTGTATTCGTGGGCTTGCTTTTCATTCCGATTAGCCTTGTTGCTACGCGGCTTCAAACAAGGTATATATATCCTTGTAGTTGTGCTTAATTTCTGTTGTTATTTATACAACTATGCACTTGAAACTTTTCCCTTCGTTGAAATTCAAGTTTGAAATAGTATCTTTCTTTCCGACAGGTCTTCGAAGTGGTTTACCGATACGACACGAAATGCGTTCCGAAGAACATGCTTCACAACAAAGTGGGCTACATCCAGAACGCGTCGATAAACAAGACATGCACAATAAATCTCAAGGTAATTAAGAAAACAAAGAACGATTCCCATTAATATTAGTGTTGCCGATAAAAGAAAAGTGAACCATTTTACGCCTTCAATCGACAAAGACGGCTTTGATGAAGTGAGTGCATCTTCCTTGTATCCTTGAACTGCATGTAGATCCCCAATGCTATGAAGAGGCCAATCTTCATATACTACCAGCTCGACAGGTTCTACCAGAACCACAGAAGGTACAAATTTCATGCAAATTCAAAATTTGTGAGGATTCAGATACGAGTGCCAGAATTTCAAATTCGAGGTGTATTCATTTCAGGTACGCGACGAGCTTCAACATCGCGCAGTTGAGCGACCCCAAGCAGGAGGTAAATGCCGACACAAAGGACTGCAAGCCTGAAGCCTACGCCGGCAAAGGCATCCCGGTGGTGCCCTGCGGGCTCGTGGCCTGGAGCCTGTTCAACGACACCTACAGCTTCGCCCGCCGCCCCCGTCGCAGCGGCGGCGTCGGCGGCGTCGAGGCGCTGAGGGTGATCAAGAGCGGGATCTCGTGGCGGAGCGAGCGGGAGCGGTTGTTCGGCAAGCACGTCTACCCCAAGAACTTCCAGAACGGCAGCCTCGTCGGCGGCGGGCGGCTGGACCCGAGAAAGCCCGTAAGTTCCTGCTCGTACGTCTTGTTCATTCATGCCGACGACGCTCGACGGATGATGATGATGATGATGATGCTGCTGATGATCGGGAGGGCCGTGGGGCGTGCAGCTGAGCGAGCAGGAGGAGCTGATGGTGTGGATGCGGACGGCGGCGATGCCGCGGTTCAGGAAGCTGTACGGGAGGGTGGAGGCGGACCTGGACGCCGGCGAGACGGTGGCGGTGGCGGTGCGGAACAGCTACAACACGTACAGCTTCGACGGGGGCAAGGCGGTGGTGCTGTCCACGGCGGGGCCGCTGGGCGGGCGCAACGCCTTCCTCGGCCGCGCCTACCTCGTCACCGGCATGGCCTGCCTCGTCCTCGCGCTGCTGCTCACGCTCGTCTGCCTCTTCTTCCCCATGTGCGTGAGCCGTCCGTTCCGCCGCATCATCATATCGCTCGCTGCCATGCCATTAATTCATGCTCTTGGTCGCCGTCGAATGATCCGTCTCTGAGCCTTCTTACATGTGTGTGCAGGACAGAGGAGCATCTCCGGCTGCGGTAGCCATTGAATCGTCCATCCATGGCTCGGCCTCTCTGGTTTGTTATAGACTGGCCTCCATTGTTGTTAGATGTAGCAGACCACTGTATGTGTATGTGTATGTGTATGTGTAATTGTGTATGTACAGTGCAGCACAAGAACCTGTAGGTAGATTCAGGGCCTCTTTGATTCGTAGGATTTTGA